CTCTCTCTCTCTCTCTCTCTCTCTCTCTCTGACAAGCGGGTATAGTAGTGGTGATGTTCTAGGACATATTATATCTACCGTAGTCTATCTCAGCCCATCATCTCATGAGACAGAGGCAGACTGACTGTTACGATGTGCACAGTTTTCCCCTGGATTTATAAGGGATTTTTAACAACAGTTTTATTACAACGAATGTCGAAACTGTTTTATCAGAGACATTTGAGAGGCAGCGTGGTGAAATCAGGCGCTCGTCAAAATAATGAAGGTGAAGAAACTGACATTTTCCCGCAGGTTTGGGAATTTTTATTGAATTTTTTCCCCTCAACACCTTTCATGCCGATTAAAGAACACATTTCCGTGTGGATTTTACTGAAAAGGGTTGATTAAAGACATAAAAGATGTACATCTAATTTATTATAAGTTTTCTCAAGCTAATGACATAACTAAACTTCGGCGGCCATTTTTTCGCTAACTTTACCTCTGAATCCAGGCGACCTCACCTCCTTTAATCGCCATTATCGTTACTTGTATCCAGGATACTTGGATATTTTTTGTTATTGAAAGCAAGGCAAATGGACAGGCATTGAGATGACACAAATAACTCTATATACACAAAAATTTACGAGCGCTTGATTCCACTACAACGTGAAACATTTAGATCTATTCTGCAAACTTTTCAGACAAATTTCCATCTAGCAGGACATCCTACTTCCACCTTCCTGTTGATGAAATTATTGACAATGAATTTTCTTCACGCATCGTAAACCATTTTGGAATCGGAGTGGCAATTGCAGTAACCTATAAGTAATCGAATCAACGTGGCGCGGAAAGGGGTAGGGGAAAAAAACAACGGGTACGGCGAAAATTCAAAAATGAAAATTGTGGGACAAAAACGGATTCTCCGCATATGTGTAGGCGATAATGCGCTACCCCACAACTACAGAGTTGTATCTGCTAGGTACCGGTACCTTGTCTCGAGAAATTTGACGTCAACAATTTGGTTGACATCCACAACACGACAAGTTTTTTCGAATACAATTCTTTGAATATCTCGATAACGACTCCTAAACAATCTGATGATTCTGATACAAAAGATAGAACATAATTAATTGTTTTCTGACCTCATGGTGCTAGTAACTGAAAACAGACAAAAAAGTCAGATAAAACTTTGTTTTTCTAAGGTACCGATTACCGTTATGTAGCGCAATCATCGAATGTAAAATAAATACAATGTACAGCGTTTCGTTGTCGGGACTCGGACCTTTGACCTCAGCCTTAAGGTCGTGGGTTGAAATCCCATATTGGGCCTGTGGTTGTGTCCTTGAGATAGGCATTTTATACAAAATGTTCCTCACTTCACCCAGGTGGGAATGTAACGGCTATAGACAGCGAAAGATCTTGTCAGTTTGTTAGTGTTTGAGAACTTAATCGGCTGCTTGCACTGTATGCTTCCCAGGAAGCTGAGAATGTTTCGGAGTGTTCTATGGTCTGCTGGGGTAATAATTTTCAACTCTCCTGTAGAGCATGGATATGGGCTGTATGAATTATATTATTGTTGTTGTTGTTGTTGTTGTTGTCGTTATCATATTATCATTTCTATTATCATAATTAATGGTACTTCTTATTAATATCAATACTGTTTTCGATCCGGCGATTGTAGTGTACTTGTCATAGGCTGATCAGTTTTTCGCCTTACTTGTGGGCAGTTTGAGGGTGTCACAGGTGACAGTCCTACTTCTTTCCTTCCCCTCTGTTGCTTATACCTCTCTATTTCGTTCCTTCCGTTACTGTGTCCATGTGATTCTGTGTATACAGCTGAACAAAAACACCCGTGCGCGCTCGTACGTACACCCACACACACAGACACAAACACACACACACACACACACACACACACACACACACACACACACACACACACATACACACACACACACATTCCACCTACACGCGG